TCTGTCACCTAGTGCTCCATTACATGGTGATGTTCTGGAGAAGGTTTGGACTAGTAAGGATGTTTCTTACAGTCATTTGAAGGTCTTTGGTTGTAAAGCGTTTGTTCATATTCCCAAGAATGAGAGGTCGAAGCTAGATGCGAAGTCGAGACAGTGTGTTCATCGGATATGGTCTTGATGAAATGGGATACAAATTCTATAATCCAGTCGAGAAGAAGCTCGTCAAAAGCAGAGACACTGTGTTCATGGAGGATCAAACTATTCGGGATATTCAGAAGTTCAAAAATCCAGCTCAGAATAGCAGTGGTTTGATCGACTCAGAGATGATTCCTCGAACGACAGTTGAGGATTCTACTGAAGGTAAGGTTCAAGGTGATACACCTGGTACAGATGCTCCGTACAAATTGATGACGGTATTGGTGAAGACCATCGGGTTGAGTCGTCAACTACCGAAGACTCACCGATGTTGAGAAGGTCTGAGAGAGCTCAGAGACCATCAACGAAGTATAGCTCCAGTGAGTATGTATTACTTACTGAAGGGGGAGAACCAGAGAGTTTTGATGAGGCTCTCGGAGATAAACACAAGGACGGATGAATGAAGGCCATGAATGATGAGATAGATTCTTTGTACAAGAATCAAATGTTTGAGTTGGTGAAATTACCTAAGGGTAAACGAGCATTGCTTAACAAATGGGTGTTCAGGGTTAATCATGAAGAGCACAGTCTGCATCCGCGATACAAGGCTAGACTGGTGGTAAAAGGTTTCAGTCAGAAGAAAGGAGTTGATTTTGATGAGATCTTTTCTCCAGTTGTGAAGATGTCATCCATACGGGTTGTTCTGGGATTGACAGCTAGTCTTGACTTGGAGGTTGAGCAAATGGATGTGAAGACGACTTTCCTTCATGGTGATTTGGAGAAAGAGATTTACATGGTACAACCTGAAGGCTTTGTTGAGAAGGGCAAAGAAGATTATGTTTCTCGGTTGAAGAAAAGTCTTTACGGGTTGAAGCAAGCACCGGGACAATGGTATAAGAAGTTTGAGTCAGTTATGGGGGACTATGGCTACAAGAAGATGACTTCCGATCATTGCGTGTTAGTGCAGAAGTTTTCTGATGATGATTTTATCATCTTGCTGCTCTACGTGGACGATATGTTGATTGTGGGCAAGAACATGGAGAGGATAACAGAGTTGAAGAAGCAACTTGGTCGGTTCTTTGCTATGAAGGATTTGGGACAAGGAAGCAGATTCTAGGGATAAGAATTGTTCGGGACAGAAGTAACAAACAGTTGTATCTGTCATAGGAGAAGTACATTGAGAAAGTATTTCAACGGTTTCATATGGAGAAATCTAAAGTTGTGAGCTCACATCTTGCGTCACACTTTAGATTGAGCAGTCAGCATAGTCCGAGTACAGATTCAGAGAATGAGGATATGAGACGAGTTCCATACGCCTCTGCAGTGGGGAGTTTGATGTATGCTATGGTTTGTACGAGACCAGATATTGCTCAAGCCGTTGGAATTGTCAGCCAGTTTTTTTGACGCCTCTGCAGTGGGGAGTTTGATGTATGCTATGGTTTGTACGAGACCAGATATTGCTCAAGCCGTTGGAATTGTCAGCCAGTTTTTTTGTAATCCAGGAAGGGAACATTGGAATGCAGTGAAGTGGATTCTGAGATATCTTCGAGGTACTTCCGGTTTCAGACTTATGTTTGGAGGTGACAAACCTTTGTTGGTTGGTTACACAGATTCAGATATGGCGGGAGATACAGATTCTCGGAAATCTACTTTGGGTTACTTGTAACTTTTGCGGGTGGAGCAGTGTCATGGCAATTGAAGTTACAAAAATGCGTTGCACTTTCTACCACTGAAGTTGAGTTCATTGTCGCAACTGAAGCTTGTAAGGAGTTGTTGTGGATGAAGAGGTTTATTGAGCAGCTCGGTTTCAAACAAGATAGGTATATCCTGTTTTGCGATAGTCAGAGTGCTATTCATCTTAGAAAGAATAAGATGTTTCATTCAAGATCGAAACACATTGATGTTAGATATCATTGGATACGAGATGTCGTGGATTCGAAGGAGGTTGAACTTGAGAAAGTTCACACAGATGATAATGGTGCAGACATGATGACAAAGGCGTTACCGAGAGGGAAGCTGAATGTTTGTTGCAGGATTGCCGGGATGACAATCTCCTCCACTTAGTCGGAAGGGAGAGAATTGTGGGGTTTCCTCCTAAGTGTATTGGTTAAAAATCAATCATGCATTAAGTGAAAAAGTAAATGGTGGGAAACACCATTATTGTGATGGCAAATCATTAGACAAACTTTTATCTAAAGTTGATGTGATCAAAGGCTACAAATGCAGAAGCCTTGGTCGTGGCTTCATAATCCAAGCAAGAGAAAATAGCAGAAAGAAGAAAAGAGAGAGAAAGAAGAAAAGAGAAAGTGGGAGAAAAGATGGAGAGAAAACAGTTTGGTGCAGGTGTGATCAAAGTCTTGATCGGATGGTCATTCCTTGTCCGATCGATCTGGAATTCGGAGGAGAGATTCTGCACTCATTGCTCTAGATTTTGTCCGGTGGAATTTCGATTCCAACGGTCAGAATTGGAGAAACGGAGTTTCTACTGAAGCTGTTCGTCATTGGAGCTTCAGCAGCACATGTCCGAGTAATTGAAGATTCAGATGCTCATCTCTTCTCCGTTTGAGCTGAAATTTGGTATGCTTATTCTACACCCAATGAACTTTTGATTTCTATGGAGAAGTTGGTATTTGGTTGCTGGAATCAGAAGTTATGGGGTTAGCTTGCTGCCTAAGTTACACCTTGTTCTTTCGGGTTTACTGAGATTGAATATTGGTTAATATTCGGAAGTCTCGGGTGTATCTCTTGTCTATTGGAGATTGAAGTGTAGACGTCGTATCCCGGAAATTTGAGATTATAGTGGATTTTTGAGTGGACTACGATCCCGTGGTTTTTACTCCTCACACCGAGGAGGTTTTCCACGTTAAAACGGCTGTCTCATTTAAATTTCTGTTCTTACTAGATATTGTCATCCTAATGCGCTCACACAAATAAGGGGTTCTTATTTACCGAATTGTGATTCACGGTAAAAACCCCAACACACAACTCTAACAAGCTAATTACACAAAAAAAAACTCTAACAAGCTAACCAAACGCTTCTTCAATCAAAGAAGCAGAACCATTGTCGCTTTCTTTATCTTTCTCGACCACAAGCTCGATCCTTTTCATCGACCTCTATATGTATATATCCTGTTCATAAAGATTCGATGGTTTTGGTCACCACAATGTCGAAAATATCGGGCTGAGATCGGTTGCCAATATGCAAAAGATCCTTAAACCCTTTTGTAACACACAATTCGAGCAGTGCAGTTGTCGCCATAGCTGTTCCCATCCTTATCCACTCGATTTTTATCGGTTGGTATCATCGATGTTCTCGGGATTTTCTTGCCCGTATGCTCTTTTCGAGTAATTCGATGGATCGACGGAGAAAATCTTCAAAACACGATCATCATGATGTCCAGGAATCTCGGCATAAACATTAGTGAATGTACCACCTCTATCAATGTAAAAGCTCGAGCTTTCCCCCACTAACAGCCCTCATCTGTGCAAAAACCACAAAATCAGCCACATAAGATCCCTTATAAACCCTAATTTTCTCGGATTTGAGTCTAACCATACCACCAATGCGCAACAAGGCGCAATACCACAATCTCCTTAGTTCACTAATCATTCACTCTCACAGGAAACATCTACACATGAAATCAGCACCAAGAACACATTAACGTTGGAACAAGAAAACGAATTTCTCCGAAAAAAAAAACAAAATGCTTCGACCCACGAAAACAATCACGAATCAATCGGTGGAAACAATATCAGACAGAGCTGAGACAAAACCCCAATTGAAAGTAAACTTGCAGGGAATGAGATAAGGATGGATTATCGAAACCCAACAGGAAAAACATAAGAGAAAAACAAAATAGAGAGGGGAAGAGAGCCCAATCAGACGGATAAATCACTCAAATATACCAAACCTGTCGCACTCATTTCTTGGATACACCCAAAAAAAATATAACCCATTAATTTTTTTCGAAAAGATCATATTACCCTTAATGAAACTGTGTAATTATAATTGCAACGTCGTAATTGATTCTAAATACATTTGCAATTGATTCTAAATGAGGTGGCAAAAGATACATCTAATTGTTTACAAGATCTTTAGTTGTTATACGATCGTAAATACTTCTTTTTTTAGTCGTATACTAGTTATATAACAGTCATAATAAAATCGTAAAAAATATAAAAGAAAGGTTATTTCAAACTTTTTAAGCCCAAAAGTGGTATAAAATTGAAAGAAAAAATTTTACTTTTTTTTTTGGTGTATCGCTGAAATTGTTGCGACACATTTAGTATATTTGAGTGATTTTCCCCAATCAGACAGAGGAGTCAAAGTAGATTCAGGAACTTGAGATGAACATGACCTGCTGAGATGGATCTTTTGGTTTAGCAGTGTAGGTTTTTCCCGGTTTAATCGATCTTAACCGGATAAACAATAGTTGGTTTGCCTGGATAGACCACGACTAGAACTCATATTTATTCACACAATCTTGGTAGTGTGTCATTTAATCGACCATATATAATATATACATATTCACGTTTTTTCAACATATACAAATACAAATCAAATTTGGTTTCTTTTTTAATTCTAATAAAAATTTCCAATTAAATTAATTAATATAGTAAGACCAAGACCGGACTTTCTGGTACGTTGATTAGATCTGATTGGTCAAACAAAGCTATCTACTATTATTGATGTTGTCCACTGTCTACGTATGTATATGACTAAATGACAAAAACACCCTCGTAGTAGCACTCCTCAAGACAGTGGATACCCAGGGCTAACTGTAATTCTACTCAAGTTCCACGTCAGTTCGCGTTCTCGTTATAAATTCAAGCCGGTAAACCAAAAACGCAACCTTCAGCTTCGGGTGTCTCTCTCTCTCTCTATGCCATTTACCTCAACGAGCATCGCTCCTCGATTCGCCAATTTCCGAGAAAATCAAACTTTCCGGTAAAAAAAATTCGAACTTGGGTTTCGATTCCGTTTGCCCATCTTCTTATTCGATTCGATTTTGCGATTTGAAGATCGAGGAGATCGAGCAACTCGGGAATGGCGCCTCCGGTTCTGTCGCTCGCCCTTCCTTCTGATACTGGCCGAGTTCTCAGCATACAGTCACATACAGTACAGGTTTGTCTCTGCCTGTGTGTTTAGGTAGCTTTCCGGTAAAAGTTTTCGTCTAGAAACAAAGGGCCTTTGGAAAAGGATTGAATATTGATATGTGCAATTGGTCGATGCTAAGTCGTTATTAGAGAGGAACGGTGAGATTTTTGTTCGTCATGCTCATTTGGATTAGTTCCTGGAGAATGCACGTTACTTGTGTTGTGTTTGTCAAGTTTACCACTTTGTTGAATTTCTTTTTTTTTTGGATTTTGTTCTTTACATTGGTTGGTCGCAATTCGTTGAGGGTTAGGTAAAGCTAATGTAGTCATATCTGCGATTTGACTGATCGGCATTCGCGTTGAAGATTATTCTGTGAACACTGCAAGTGTGACCGGAAAGCAGTGCTGTCTGATTGGCGGGTTCTTAGTAATAGTTCGTCATGAACAAAGTTTTGATGGTATGAGGGAATTTATTGAGATTCAAGAGGTGAAAGGTTGGAAATTTTATTTAGTTGGAGAAAGAATGTGGTTTGTGGAATTATTGTACTTGCTTCCTTATTCTACCAGCTTTCATGCAGTGATAGTTATCTCCTGTTTAATCCTGATGAAGCTAAGTCTCCTGTTTTTGGACGGAGGAATATGACTGGAAACATGATTTTTTTGGGTGAAATTTCTTAAATTTGGGTGGATTACGACGGCCAAGCTATTCATGTTCCGGTGCTAATTTGACCCGCGTACTTCAATCGAGATATGTTCTTCTTTTCTTGTGTTGCCAAGTATCTGATTCCATTTATGTTGCATTACCTCTTTCTCAGGGATATGTGGGCAACAAGTCGGCTGTTTTCCCTCTTCAACTGTTGGGATATGATGTGGATCCGATCAATTCGGTGCAGTTCTCAAATCACACCGGTAAGCTTCTTATGAGAAGTCAAAACTATGTAATGTCTCACGTGCCGTGTTATTTGTTAGCAAGTGTCGTTACTGATATACAACTTCAGGCATCGAATCTTCATCGGTGTTTGATGAACATGTTGGTTTGATCTTTAAAAAAAAATTCCAGGGTACCCTACATTTAAGGGGCAAGTTTTGAATGGGCAGCAATTGTGGGATCTAATCGAAGGCCTGGAAGGAAATGATTTGTTATTCTACACCCATTTATTAACAGGTAAATATAACAGTTTTAGGGAATTTAGTTGTTACTTTGATCATTTCACTCCCTTTTGCCTTTACCTTGTATGTTTCATATAATCAAGTTTGTGTCACTGTTGGATAAGATAAGTTTTCTCCCTTTAAATCTATGTGTATCAAGTGTTCTGCTTGATCACAACAGAGCTTTATTCTATTGCTTTTTTTGTTTGGTCCTTATATTCCAGGTTATATTGGGTCAGTCTCATTCTTGAATACGGTTTTGGAGGTCATTGCCAAGCTTCGTTCTGTAAATCCGAATCTTACATATGGTAAGCACATTGTTGCACAATGAAAACTTTTGTGTCTTCTGTTAGTTTATTGATTTCTTATCTTTTTGCACACCTTGGAAGTATTTTATTGATGATAGTTAGGCCCTCTCGTGAGAGTATGCGTTTTTTTGCCGAAAGGAAGTGGTGTGTTACTCTGTGTATAAGAATGTTTGATTTACCGTGACTGTGTATGTGTTTTGTTTCTCACAAATGCGAAAAGTATGCTTATTTCTGCCTGTTTTTGTATAGTCTGTGATCCTGTAATGGGTGATGAAGGAAAGCTCTATGTGCCGCAAGAATTGGTACATGTTTATCGTGAGAAGGTAAGGGGACTGGCAAAATCTATTGATCACGCCTTTGTTCTTCTGTGACAACTTCCCTGATTTAAAGTCTCGGGTTTGATTATCCGCTTTCTATATGACCCTTCTTTCGGTATCAACACATTTTTCGAATATTCTATATCATGCATTTCTTAAGTTGTTTTTCACCATTTTTCCCGTCTTTCTTACACCTGAACCGTGCTGTGAATAGATTAGTGATGATTTTGGAAAACCACTTGATGAGATTTCTGATGATGATTTTTTTGGTTAGGTTGTACCCCTTGCTTCTATGTTGACTCCTAACCAATTTGAGGCGGAGCAATTAACAGGACAAAGGTATTTGATTAAGATTTAAGCCTGCCTCTTCTAATACGTAGAGTAATAGTTTGGTGGTGGTTGTGCTATGTCTCCCCCTTTATATGTCGTGACCTCTATCATTGTCTTCAGCAGTTTTTCTAGTACTTCAAGAAATCTTAAAGTTTCCAAATTTTTCCGGAGTTGTGTAATTTGAACCTTCGTGGAAGAATATGCTTTTATAATATTTCTGGACCGTAGGTATTGAACTGACCAAAATCCACTAAATTTCTGGGTTCCTATATGCATCCCAAAATTGGCGTAAGCGTAAAAATATCACTGTGGTGAAGATATGTCCATCCATGAAAAGACTTTCCTTTGCACCTTTGCTTGTCTGGTTAAGTGGGTGCCCTTTTTATCTGCAACATTCTACGAACTGAAGATTTTGTGGGTTTTATTACTTGGAATTTCATTGGATCTTGTCAACCTTGGGACTTCAAGTAGGTGCTAAAGATTAGATTTTTAAGCTATAAAGTTGGAAACAGAGAGAGGTGGTAAGCTTGTCGTAGGATCTGCGTGAACAAAATTAACATTTGAAGACAACTTTTACGAGTATTCGAGCATGAAGTTTATGCAATCGGTTTTACACTAGCTGCTTTGCAAATGTTTGTGCTACTATGAAAGAAAAAATTCACCATCTTGATTATATTACATGACTCGTATGATTTCCTGCCCATAAGGCCTGTCTCTGTATTCACTAAGTTCATAGCGCTGAAACATTACAGGATAGAATCTGAGGAAGATGGCAGGGAAGCTTGCGCTATTCTTCATGCTGCCGGACCTTCAAAGGTTTGTTGCATTTAGATTGTTGAATCTTTAGACTACCAAATGTAGCCATTGCTTTCTAAACGGTGTTGGAAGACATTCTGAAAAATACCGTTTCCATTGAGATTTCTTCTACCCTTGACTGCAAACCATTATAATTATGACTTATGAGTAGCCTTTTTTTTGTTATAATAATTTATTTTCGATGTATATCAGGTGGTGATCACTAGCATTAGTATAGGAGGCAGCTTGTTGCTTATTGGGAGTCATCAGAAGGAAAAGGTAGGTTTCTTTGTCGAAACCAAGAAATTCCGGATTTGGTCAGCATCAGCAAAAGATCGATATAATGTTCTTTTGGGATTGTGGCATCTAATAGAGGGTTTTATCGTATTCCTTTTAGCAGACCTGAATCTCTTAGATATAAACTGCTTCATTCTGTTTGGTTTGGTTCTGACCCGAATAAACTCCACTACTTTAAATTCTTTGTTTCAACTGCAGGGCCTGAAGCCCGACCAGTTCAAGATTTTGATACCAAAGATCCCTGCATATTTTACGGTAATGTTTGGTTTCCCCTTCAAAATCTGTATTACTTATTTGACACGTTCTAAATGCATTTTACATTGTGTCATGAAAATGAACTACCCTGATAGATTTCATATCGAGATGTTTGATGGCTTACCACTTGTTCATATTAGAAATCTGTGAAATCCCCGAGTTGATTTTCTTCCTGTATCGATGCAGGGAACCGGAGATCTCATGACTGCTCTTCTGCTTGGTTGGAGTAATGTAAACACCGTCTTCCTTCATGATCAATGAATGCATCATCCTGTCTAGGCTCTTTCCTATCTCATGTGATGGTTTCTTCGTGCATGCTTTTAATATGCAGAAATACCCCGACAACCTCGACAAGGCAGCCGAGCTTGCGGTTTCAAGCTTGCAGGTAATTTTTCCAAGAAACCCTAAACACATGTGTCGTTAAATAGGGTTCCTTTGGTTGAATCCACACTGTCCCGGCTAAGTTCTTACAAGCTCTGTTATGTTCCATTGATTCTGGTCCTGATGTGCTTCAATCTGAACGTTAATGCGGGACTGAATTCGACTGTGGTGTTACAGGCTCTCCTGAGGAGAACCCTCGATGATTATAAACGCGCCGGATATGATCTCGATTCAAGCAGCTTGGAGATCAGACTAATACAAAGCCAGGACGATATTCGCAACCCTAACGTCCTGCTGAAAGCTCAAA